CTATTCCTGACATCTTCACGTTCACAGTAGGGTTTAGGGTTTTTGGGTTTTGGGCTTAGGGTTTTAGGGTTTAGGCTTTCCCTCAACCCCTAGAAACCCTAACACCTAAGCCTGAAACCCGACACCTCGAAAGCCCCCAAAAGAAGCCCCCGAAAGCCCTAGAAAACATAGCTTCGCGACTCTGAAAGCAGGCGTTGGCATGGGTGGAATCCGCATGGAACGAAGCCTCGAGAGAAACTGAGCTTGCTAAGCGTGTCATACTGGGGTTTGGGGGTTTAGGGTTTAGGGGCTTAGGGGTTTAGGGGTGTAGGGGTTAGGGGTTTAGGGTTTAGGGGTTTAGGGTTTGGGGTTTAGGGTTGATGATAAGAATCCTGCAGTACTTTAAGGGACCTACACCATGGGAACTAGGGTATATTCCCTATTACGGGTAATGCAGGATTTATATCAACAACCGAAGGATTCGTTGCAGGGAGTCTAGGGCTTTACCTGGGAATCCAAAACCCTGCCGTTTTAGGGGTTCTACCCTCTAGTTAAGGGGTCATAACCTGCTTTGTCGTAGGGTTTGGGGTCACAGGTAGGGTCTAGGATTCCAAAAAATGGGGTTTTAGTTGGCCTCTTCAGGTTGTGTAAGGTACCAGAAATCCGCGACCAAGCTAAAGACCCGTCGAAAAAAGTTGAAGCCCTAGACCCAGCCAGTTGGTCCTGGTGGGGGTTTCGAGACATCTCTGGAGAAATTTGGGACCTGGACAAAAAGCCGGTCTTGCTTATTGGTTTTTGTTCTTCACCTTGCTCAAAGGGTCCACATACCATTATAGTGGGCTCAATGTCCAGAATTCTTCGATGCTCGACAGTTCCGCACGGACCTGGAGGATGCGAGGGTGCATCCGTTTTTCTTCGCGTTTCCTGTGCGCGTCGAGCCGGTGCGTCTCGAACTGCTGCCAGGTTCGAGGGTGGAAGGAAGCCACCTCTGAGAGGGCCTTTACAGCCTTCCGCTGTGCAGAAGTCGAGGATGAGGCAGCAGGCGGAGCACTTTAACTTTAGGGTTTGGGGTTTGGGGTTTAGGGTTTAGGGTTTAGGGTTTAGGGTTTAGGGTGGGGTGTAGGGTTTTAAATTCCGAAACCCATACTCTGAACGATGTTTTGGGACCATGGAATCCCTGGAACCCTACTTGGGAGTTGGGGTTTAGGGTTTCGGGCTTCGGGTTTAGGGATTAGGGTTTAAGGGTTTTGGGATTAGGGTTTCGGGTAAGAGGTTTTGGGTTTAGGGGTTTAGGGTTTAGCGGAGCTTTGGGGATGTAAACGGTCTCAAAGAAGTCCCTTTTCAGAGAGCCAGAAGTAGGGAGGTGATACTGTTGACCCGGGTACTTGGACCGTTAAGGTGATACTATTGTTGATATAAATCTGCATTACCTTAAGGACCCTAAACTATGGGAATTCGGGTATATTCCGTATTATGGGTAATGCAGGGCTTATATCATCAACCCCAAACCCTACAGAAACCCTAAACCCCAAACCCTCAACCCTTATCCCTTAGACCCTTTGGTTTCTTCCTTGACGGAGAAGTCTGGGGGTTTGAGGGCTTAACGACGCCTCGATTTAGGATTTAGGGTTTAGGGTTGGGCCTCATATTCTCGAGAGTTTTTGTAAGCCCCCCTTAAAAGCAACCGTTCTCTCTTAGGCCCTCTGTAGGGATTTGGGTATGAGCTTCGCGGTGTCAGGTGATGGTCAGGGCTTGCCAGGATGTGCAGGGTTTAGGGTCAGGGTTCAGGGTTTCTGTAAGGTTTGGGGGGTTTAGTCACGGTTTAGAATTTAGGGTTTAGCGTTTTCGTCCACTTGAGTTTTTAAGGTTTAGGAACTAATGCGTAAATCTTTGGCTACGATTCGGGCTTACTACTCAAAAACAGGGTATACTATACTATAATCTTAAATTCTGAAATATCAGTTAGGGGGATATAAATACGAATTGTTCCCCCCAAGTATAGCAGGGCTTTGGTTTACCGTGGCCCTCAAAGTTAAGGCTTCAGGGGTTTTGGGCTTTAGGGTTTCAGGGTGTTAGGGCGTTAGGGTGTTAGGGTTTGGGGAACTCAGGTGCGCAGGCAGTTGGCTCGGATAGGTCGTGGCGCCGTCGGTGCACCATTTGCGCCTGCTATCTGCAACAACCCTGGGACAGGGATTTCAGGTAGTAATGCTTTCAGGCTAAGGGTCGGACATATGGGTAGTTCTCGAAAATAGGGTCCCTTTTAGGGGTTCCTTGTTATAAGGGCCATACTATTTTTGGGGACCTAAAAAGGGACCCTAATCTAGAGAACTACCCATATGTCGATTGGGTTTCGGTGTCTTTTGCTATATACTTGCTTCGGAACCATGAGGAGAACCCTAAACCCTAAACCCTAAACCTTAAACCCTAAACGTTAAACCCTAAACCCTAAACCCTAAACCCTAAACCCTAAACCCTAAACCTCAAACATCTCACGAAGTGTGGTGGCTGCCATGTTATGGGGTGTCGGACCCTGGGTTCAGGATGCATTATACCACGAGGGCTTAGGGTATAGGTTTAGGGGTTTAGGGGTTTAAGGGTTTAGGGGTTTAGGGTTTAGGGTTTAGGGTTTGGGGTTTAGGGTTTAGGGTTTAGGGGTGCTTAAGGGAGTGTGCAGGACAGCTTGACAACAGATCCGAGAAGGCCCTGGACCCCGAACATGACAGAGACAACTGTCTGGTGCTTAGTAGGGAATGGGGGAATGGGTTATAGGGACTACTATAAGGGACCTTAAAGGGACTATCATAGGGATCCATTCCCCCATTCCTTACTAAGCACCAGACAGACAATGGTATTCCCGATATAACTACGTTCAAGGACGGGAGCAATGTTAATACAGACAAAAGTGATCGCCATCCTCGCCATCACCATCATGATCGTATTCCTATCCATGCTCACAACAACAGCCCGACGAAAAGACTAACCAGTGACAAAATGAACCAACATAACCCTTGACCCTAAACAAAAAACCCTTGCAGAAGACCGTAAAGCAACCCTTGTAGAAGCCAGGGAAATAGCCCTTGTAGGAACCTGAAGGAGAAGGCTTCTGATGTTGGGCTCACGGCAGAGACCCGAAGCCCTCGAAGACCCTCCAGTGTTACTGAGGTTTAGGGTTCTTCTTTTTTTAACGCAATAGCACCTTTGGTTAAGGGTTCAGGGTTTAGGGACTACCCCGGCACGTCGAGACCTGATGGAACCCACATCGTTTTAACGGGCTTGAACAAGCAGCACCATGAAACCTCTAGTAGTGCAATACATCTGTTGCGGTGTCATCACGATGCCCAAGCATCAAATGCGGATACATCCGAATCACGAGAACCTGTCAATGTCACAAGAACGAACACTGCGGCATCGCTGTGCCCAGACAGATTCCCCCTCCTCAAGCACGACAAGCAGAAACCTCAGTTTCTTGCCGGGTCATGGTTCTAAGGACTTCAGGAGGGACCCTTAATAGGGACCCTTAATCCCATTACCTTAAATAACCATTGTATAGTCCTTAGATACCCCTTTTATAGCCAGGTAGTCTCCATACTATCCCCAATAACCTACAAGGATCTCTATTAATGGTCCCTCCTAAAGCCCTTAGATAAACCCTAAACCCTAAATCCTAAACCCTAAACCCTAAACCCTTAAAGGAACCCTCAGAAAATCCCCCCAAAAAGGTTCGGAAATGATCAGAACCATGCCGCAAGTCTCTCTGCACACCAAGTTCAAGCGGGCAGTCAGGTTTGTAAAGGGTTGGACAGAAACAGAAATGGCAGAAAAAAAGAATGCTCACATCGAAGAGGTTAGATACAGTAGAATCTACAGTAGATGCTCCTGAGCCCCCTAACTCTCATTTTGGGATATAAGGCCCAAGACAAGCAACGGTAGATTCGACTGGAAAGTTTTTCCATGATCAGAATGATGAGGATGTAGTCGGAAGATGGTCGTCATAATGATGCTAAGGCAACGGCTTAGGGTTTAGGGTTTAGGGTTTGGGTTTCGGTATATTTTGTAGGGTTTAGGGTTTAGGGGATTTTTTGCAGGGTTTAGGGTTTGGGGTTTAGGGTTTAGGGCAACCGTGTCAAACACCTGTGTTGTCAGAGTAAGGATGGGTAGCCGTGAGCATAGCATGATCAGCGCAGTTCCAGCAAGTGCGACAGCTTCAGCCTCTTTTCCAAAAGACAATTCATCTATACAGCAACCCGATATCTGGAGTGCTGGAAGCAGAGTACTGGATATAACAGGTCATACCTAACAAACGATGCAAAGATGAACGTACACACGATATTGAAACATGAGACACGATGGTATACAAGTGGAGGTGCGGGCCAAAGAAGTAGTCTACTGTACACACGCCCTAAACCCTAAACTCAAAGTGCCTAAGCATGTGGCCGTGCATCAAGGAAATAAAGCAAAATCTGTTTAGCTTTGCTATTGTTATTAATACTAGTACCACTACAGCTACTACTCCTGCTACTACTACTACTACTACTACTACTACTACGACTACTACTACTTCTACTTCTTCTTCTGCGACTACTAGTGCACGAACAAGATTATGCAAAAGCCTGCCTAGCCGCACAGGAATGCAGACTGAGGACCTCACTCTCTCAATGCCTGAGATCGAGGGAACCTAACATATGAGACTCGAAACTCCAGAAGATCAGGCAAGCAACAGCGTGAGCAAGGAGTAGTACCAGTACTCATCCATGAGCCAGAGAAGCACGCAGAAAAGCTGGAAGACGAAGAAGGGGGCCACTGCATGCTCCTCTTTCAGTATGCAAGAGACGCTGAAGAGACGGATTGCTGCTACTATGCACCGACATCAGGACGTAATTTCTCCCTTTCGACAGAAGCAGCATCTGACTTTCGTGCCCTGTACTTTCCATAGCCTCCATACCTGAATTCTGAATTCATATTGTTGAAGTAGCAAAGTCCTGGAAAAGCTCCCAAAAATCGGGCAGAGGAATGTCGTAAATGTTCTCGCCGTACTTTCTTTTGCGCTCCTCCACCTGCCGAAATGACACTGCGAACCTCACACCCGTGGGGTGCCGAGCATGACTGCGTGATGGTTGGAAGGTCAGGCAGTAACGTGGCTTCCCAATATTTGGGATAGCTATAGTGAACCCCAAAGAATTGGGTTTAGGGTTTAGGGGTTTAGGGTTTGGGGGTTTAGGCTTTAGGGACTTATAGTGAACCCCAGAAAGTTGGAACAGGAATTTAGGATGATTTTTGTTGGGACTCCTTCTGCTTTACCTTTAATGGCATTGGGATATTGATGTTCCAACTTTCTGGCTTCTACTGTAAACCCTAAACCCTAAACCCCTAAACCCCTACACCCTAAACCCTATACCCTAAACCCTATACCCTAAACCGAACATAGCATAATGAAATACGGCCATAGGATCTCACTACTTTGCGCTGAGTTAAGGTCCGGATCGCCAATTTCTAAGGACTTTAGGAGGGACCCCTAATAGGGAGCCTTAATCCCATTACCTTAAATAACCATTGTATAGTCCTTATATACCCCTATATAGCCAGGTAGTCCCCATATTTACCCCAATAACCTACAAGGGTCCCTATTAAGGGTCCCTGCTAAAGCCCTTAGACAATTACTCAATTTCAATCTGAAGCTCGGTTGGGTTGCAGGCGCATTCATGCACAAGTAGGCCCTAAGCAGTGATATACCACACGGCGTGGGGATTTCTATCGACCGTGCAGTCGCCGCCAAAAAAAACATCTATACACACCTACTGAAAGTATCGCAAGCTGCACGTCGTGTTGCTTACGGCATACAGTTGCCATGGCATCGCCTACACGACAAACTCATGTCAACCCTAGACCCTATGCCCTAAACCCTAAACCCCAAACCCTAAACCCCGAACTTACGTCAGGCAACCCTAACCCTAAACCCTAAACCCTAAACCCCGAACTAACCTCAGGCACCCCTAACCCCAAACCCTAAACCCTAAACCCCTAAACCCTAAACCGCCAACCTCCTTTGCAGTAAGCCCAGTGGAGGCAAGGTAGGACAGCAAGGGCAAAGCGATGTCGAACTGGAGCCTATCTCGGTTTAGGGGTTTCGGGGTTTAGGG